GGGGGCTCAGATCCAGATGGGAAAACAAAGTGCAAGGAAGGAATGATTCCAGTTCTGAGAAGGAAAGGGGCTCTTGGGTGCAGTCATTTATTGAACAGCTGCTCTGGGCTCTGGGGACACACTGTGAACACTCAAAAGGAGAAAACAGATAACTAACCATTAAATACGCTGTACTTCAGATGGAGGTACCTGCTACACAGAACAATAACTGGAAGGAAGTGGGTGGGGCATTGTGGTGGAGTAGGGAGAGGAGATTTACTGTTTTATAGAGTGTGCTTTAGGGAGGCTTTTCTAATAACATATTTGTGCCAAAATATGAGGTAAGGGAGAGAGTGACCACTGCAGTTATATGGGGGAAAGACATTCCTGACAGGAGACATGTTCCGTTTGAGATGCCTATTATACATTCCAGGAAAAACATATGGAATTGAGAACTGGCAACACTGGCCTGAGGTTTATGGAAGAAGTCTGGGCTGATGATCCTAAAATTATGAGAATGGATGAGATTCCCTAGGGAGTGAGCACAAATGGAGGAGAGAAGTTTCCATATCAGTTTCCAAGTGCACTACTGTGTTAAGAGGTCAGGAAGATAGCAAGGAAGGAAGATCAAGAACAAACAGCCAGAAAATAAATAAATAAGTAAATAAAATAAAGAACAAACAGCCAGTGAGGTAGGAGATTTGGGGAGCCAAGTGGAGAACGTGTGGCCAGAATGAAGTGATTAACTGTGTCAAGTGCTGCTGATCAATATGAAGATTATTGATGACCTTGGTCAGATCAGTTTCAATAGAGATTGGGGGGAAAGCCTAATTGGAGTGAAATTTAAGAGAGAACAGGAGCCCTGGCTGGTGTGGCTCAGTGGCTGACTGTCATCCTATGCTCCAAAAGATTAGATTCCTGGCAGGTAAGGGCACATGCCCTGGTTTCAGTCTGGATCCCCATTGGGGGGCAGGCAAGAGGCAGCCGATCGATGTTTCTCTCTCATCCATATTTCTCTCTCCCTCTCCCTTCCTCTCTCTAAAATCAACAAAAACATATTTGAGAGAGAGAGAACAGGAAAGAAAGAAATGTGCTGCAGTGAGGAACAGCTGGAGGGAGTGTGTGGGTTTTTTGTTTTGTTTTGTGAATCCTCACCCAAGGATATTTTTTCCGTTGATTTTTAGAGAGAGAAAGGAAGGGAGAGGGAGAGACAGAAAGAGAGAAACCTCGATGTGAGAGAGACACATCAATTGGTTACCTCCTGCACACGACCTGACCGGGGCTGGGGATCCAGCCTGCAACCAAGGTACGTGCCCCTGACGGGAACTGAACCCAGGACCCTTC